CATCTGGAACCCTCGTTCACAGACCAGTGATGCTGCCATCCATTTTCCAGGATATAAGTGCTTCCTGGTCGGGAATGTGAGTTTCCGAGAACGCAAGGAAAATGAAATGGTGTCGCTCAGCTGTTCTTATGACGTGATAGTGCATGCGGTCTCCGTTTAACGCTCGGACGTTTTAGAAGGCGATACGGATCTTCGCCTTACTGGTGTTGATCGGCTGAAAGTCAGATTTCTTGCTGTTAAACGTTCGGATCAGATCACTAGCGTCATGACCAGGTTGAAGAAGCGAAAGCGCTACCAGACTCGCGGAGCCGCATATAATCGAACATTTTGCGGACAGCTTCTGAAGAAAAAAGAGGAAATCGTCGAGTTGAAGGCAGAACGGAGCATCAACAGGCTCCTGCTCCAGCATCTCGAATACCTGGTGTCCAGGCACCAAAGGTCGCCATGGTCAAATGGCAGACACAATCGCCAACGGACATGCTGTCTAAAGCCCAAGTGCTGAAAGCGCTTAAATCACTTATCGGACACTATAAAACGTTAGACGAAAGATTTTGAGTGACCATGGAATGGGTGTCATTTGTGGAGGATGAGCTCGCTATCGTAACCCCAGAAAACATGTCCTTGAAAGGATAAGCGGTCAAGCTTTCATCAGACTATCAAAAGAAAAAAACATAAATGAGCAAGTGAGTGTGCATCAACGAACGCCGCCAGTGCCAAGTCAGCAACCAGTGGCTCCGGAGCGAAGCTGCTCCAAATCTAACAAGCGTAAGAGAAGGTGAACGGTGAGCTGGCTACTTCTCGGGATCGAGTGGCCAAAAGGACAACATGATCGCCGAGCTGGAAGGTTAACTGGCGAACACTCAAAAGGAATTCTTGCATGAATTGTCATATTCATATTAACAATAAGCGACGAGCGACTACAGAAACTGTACATTAATGAATTTCGTAAACAAAGATAAAATAAATGTAAAAAACGTGTCGCAACAACAATAATTACTGTATAAACCGTAAAACACTGAATTTAAAATTAAACTGTAACCACAGCCTACGTAAATGGGCTTACTCTCCTGTTCAGTATTTGCATTATCTAAGACACTATATTTGTGAATCAGAAGTTGCTAGTCCTGTTAGTAAGAAGGGTTGTTTCTCAAGATCAAATGTGGTAGCATACCCGCGTAAACTTTGAGCACATGGCTTCAGCTTCGTTCACCATTCCGGCCATCAGCATGTACTTAGCGCATTTTGAGTTGATATAACGATCGGCAGTATCAAGACTCTGTGCTTCCTCCATCCAATGCACCGCCTCGAATCTATTGCCGGCATGCTAAAAAATGAAAGGAGGAAGTAGACAGTGTGGGCCATCTTTGACCAACATATCCACTACCTTAAAAATCCGGCCCTTCGCCATATACAGTTCGATTAGTGTCGGCGTGTGATCGATGCTCTTGTTTATGAATGTCAGTGCCTTCGACGAATCACCAAGATGGTCGTAATGTAAAGCCAAAAAATAGTAGACCCAAAGAAGGGTCGACGGCGGTTCCTTCACACTTTCTGAAACAAACGGAAAGGTTAACCTGAAGCAATACACAACAACCTCGAAGACTACCAGCCTAACCTTTGCTGAACTTTCCGAACTTCTCCAAACCGTCTACGTACGACAACACCAGGTCTTCTATTATCGTAACCTATGCATAAAATGATTTTCATCAGCGACAGTTTGTTAACTACCTTTTCGCGATCAGAATACAGGAACTTGAGCATTGTGAAAAGGGGAGCAACGCCTTTGCGTAACATACGAATCAGAATCGGTTCGATACGATCGATAAACTTTTCTCCTAAAACGATTGGCCAGATTTCATAAAAAATATTAATAAATATTTAAAAACTGAAAAATTTTAAACATGACGCTTGACATCTACTTAATTGTCGTTCAATTCAGCAACATCGAACATCGAAACATGGATATATGTTGGAGTTATCATAATAATCATGCAATTACTTGCTGTAAATTCACATTTAAAAAAATATCTTTATATCTACACATGCACAGGGAAAAACCTTAACCACAGATTTAAAAGCTGAACGGTAGCTACCGGTCTACCGAGTAATATTTAGGCGCAGCGTAACAACGTACAAAAGACTATGTTGCATTCTCGTCTAACATTTGCTATTTAAAATTAACTGGTGCAATAAAATACTTTAATCTTGTTTTAGTTAAGCTTGCAGATAAAAGGAAACAACTTCTTTGAGGCCATATTTCATTATCTATTGCATCGCCCCACGTTCCCCATTGGGGAGGGGATTTAAGCAGGCTACTACTCTACTGGATTTGAGCATATACATGTGATTCCAGATGCACTTCATGCCATCTTGCCCGCTACAATCAGCTCACTCATTATCGTTATTTCGGAAGCTGGTACTCCTTATATACTACGAAATAAACATCAGACTACATTCGTAGCTGCAGTACGTCAGATAACGCAAGACTCAATAAATGGCAAAGCGGCGGTGCAATACATCGTTAAGCCAGGTCTCGGAGAAGTTGCGCTAACTGGCGTATTCAGCGCACCAACATGCTGCGGCTTGTAAGGAGTACCAGCTCCGGAACTATCGTTCGTGATGAGTGCAAGGCAGTCCTAGCGAACAAAATCATGTGATATGCAGGGGCACCAAATACCACGGAACGTTGCCTGCTGAAATGGCTTAATTGACAACTATGAGTGCAACGAAGGTGCAAGACGGCGTAAAATCTAGTCTTGGAAGAGTTATGCGTTAAGTTATGTATGTTATGCGTTATCTTATAAATACTTCGATATTTACGCATGTACAACGAAGCAGTATTTATTTCCTAAGAGAAAGATTATCTATAAAAGTCAGTTTGTGAAACCATTTCCTCCACATTCTTGAATTCATGATCAAATACTCTGCCACTGTGTCTCTTCGCAGTTTCACATCATTCCTTAAAACACCGCGCTTATTCCGTTTAGTCGACCTGATTTTCTATTCTTTGCAATATCATAATCACGTGACTGAATCAACCGAAAATGCCTTTGATAGCGTTTCGGTAGCTGTGACTATACCGAATGTGCCCTTGTGAAGGTATTTCGGATGTGCGGCACAGTTTGTTTGATGAAATTAACCGGACGACGCTAATTTCCCTTTCCATCCCATTAGTCAAGATGGCCTTGTTGAGGCTATATCCAGAGCTAAGTTACAACCGTGGCATGCAGATTCTTCTTGTTTCCTTTATATGAATTAGTACTGCTCTACTTCAGAATGAGGAAAGGCGAGTGACTTTACTGGCTCTCGAATCGAAAATCACTCGACTGCGAGTTTGACCCTTTGTAGATTGAGCAATCCCGGTTAAGAAAGGATTAAGCCAGTACCGAAGCAACGTATTCCAGTATTAATATGGGTTTGTAATTTTTCTATCCAATTTTCTTGAAGGATGTGCATCAAAATGCATGTGAAATACTGAAATCTGGTACCTATATGAAAAATGATCATATGTACGAGTGTCCTCATCGCGGAAAAAAGGCAGAACTTTCTGGTTTCAGTGAGCGAGTGCATACAAGAAATATAAAAAGCTCAAGAAAAAGCAAATACCTGCCGAAACGAATGATAGGCACAAACGGCGAGGGGTCAGAGAACGACAGAACGTCAGCATCATTTCATCGTAGAGGGCGAGACGTCGTTCAGCTGCGGAGTGCGAAGAAGGATCAACTTAACAAACAAAGAAAAGTACATCAATAACGGGACTCAGAGAACAAAAAATCATACCTAAGTTCAAGCATATCTCCAAACTTCTGTAGTAAGCTTCGTTTTCTGGGTTCTGTTCGATTAACAGCCGGTACACATCGGCAGCTTGCTGCTTCCGGTCCAGCTTCCGTAAAAGAATGCCTAAAAACAAAACGCTGAAACTGAACATTGCTGACAGTGTTGAGCGCGAAAGTGCATACCTTTCGTTTCCAAGTATGAAACGTAGTCGAAAATCTGTGGCCTGTGGGCTTCAAGGTGATCAAACGCCTCCTGATACTTGCCTGCTTCGTAATACACCATGTTTTCGTACAACAGGAACTCGCTGTGCTCATAGTCGTATTCCTTGATCTAAAATTAGACAAAAGCTTAATAACTTAGAATCTGAAGCCTTACATGAGTTCGACACAAAAAAAAATAGATAGCCATCATATATTAAAAAAATAAGTTTATAGATCTATTTGTCAGCAGTCATCAGAAAGACAGAGTTCTAACCAATAAGATGAGGCGAAATCTACTTCGTCGGTACCTGAATAATATGAAATTATGGCCTTGCCACCTACGAACATAGAGCAAATGTACAGTGTCATACGCCATAACATTTGACTTCGGCGGATTTAAAATGATAAAAGCCGCGTTTGTCGGTCCTGGCAATCGATCTGACGGTTTAAGAGACATGCACTATGTTGCAGTACTTAGAAAGCTATCAAGAACATCGATGCAAACCGTTATAATTATAAGTAATTTTACGAACATTCTGTGTCTTTCGAAATTCTTCCAAAACCTGCAACGCCATATCGTAGTCTTGCATAAGGTGGTAGGCCATCGCGAAGCCGATCCAGGAAGCACGTTGGGTGGGCCTGAGAGTGAAAAGTTGATACCGAGTTTCCTAAACACAAGAAGTTCAAAAAATACAAATATTTCTGTAAAACAGAGAATCATTAAGGGGGTAACTAACTGATGAACACAAAAACATTGGGGTAATTCAGTCATCCCTATAAATCATGTCACGTTAGGGCTGAACTCGACGCATTAAGCACAGGATCCGTTCAATTCCATAATGTCATTAAATGCTCTCTTCC